CGAGTTTCATTTGCGGCACTCTGAAGATGGCGCTGATTTCAATATTTTTATTATTTCTATCCTTCTTTTAATATTTGCTCTCTTCGTCATACATTCGCATGGTCGCGATTTATTTACCAAAAATATTTTATATTCATATTTATATTCGTGGACATAACCAAAGAAAAAATGCTAGACTAAAATAAATTTTAAATTCATGAAATTTAATATAAAAATTTATATATATTATATATTTTTATATATATTTAATTAAATTTAAAATTTTAATCTAGCATATTTTTTAAATGAAATCTTGGGTACGTTATTGAATGCAAATACATAATACGTAGTTTTTAGTTTAGTATCGCTTTCATAAAAAACAATACAATATTTGCAAAATTTTCAAAGATTAAAAAAGTTTTTATAAATATAAATTTAGAAAAATGATAACAATTATCAGGTCTCATCACAAAGAGATAATTACGTATCGAAATTTACTTTTTATTTTATTAAATTTACATTTTATAAATTTTATAATTTTAGACTATTTATCGTATATCGATTTTTTAAAATCGACTAGCAAAAAAATAAATAAATAATTTAAGTGTTTTATATTCTAATTTATCTTATCAAAACTTAAGTGTGAAATGTGTAATAAATTTGACACGATATCCAGTGTCAAAATTTAAAAAATTTAATTAAATATTATAATTATCACTTTCACTATTTAAAAAATAAACGAATCATTTCAGAAATATATAATTTACCATTCGTGAATACCATAACCAACGCAATAAATTTCCTATTCTACCATGGTTCGATAATATCATCAGAGTTATTTACCATTACACACTGCATCTTAAAGATAGCGATAGCCATCAGCAATTCCACAAGTGCCACAAGAAAGTTCAAGATTACAATTTGACCTTCGATCCTCCATTCTCCTTCACCTACTTATCATTAATACGGAATTAAATTTTCGAATGTAACGTATAAATGATAGAAAGTTTAATAACTTTTATCGATAATTAATCCGATCGTTAAAAAATAAATCGCTTTATTTATTTTTATTTGCTAACTATATTACTAATTGGTAATTTATCCGTCGCACTTATGTAATAATTCTAGGAAATTGAAGAAAAATAAATCAATAACGGAACAAGAAGAAACAACAAATTACTTTATTTATGAATAGTTTCTAATTCAACATGTTTTTGAAAATTTATAATATCGTATTATATATATTATTAGTTTATTTTACCATGAATTTTAAATTTATTCTTTAAACTTTTACTTATTCGAATTTAATATGTTATTAAATTAACAAATCAAACGATTTATTACAAAATCGATTTTTGAAATATCGAATATTTACTTATACCATTAATAAAACGATTTAACAATCAACTAAAAAAAATTTCTACAATTATATCCATCTACATTTATCGATTATTAAATATTTCATCATCATTACTAGGTCGCCATTTATGTATCTGAATTGTTGGTCTGTTATTATTCAATTTCGTTTCTTGCGTCGAAATGCTTAAGTCGATCGGGAAACGATTTTCTTTTTGCTCATATTGATGTGGTTTCACTTCTATTTCTAATTTTGGGATACGCGAAGGACCTAAGAAAAAAAAAAAAAATTAATTTTTTATGGCAACGCAAAAAAAAAAGAAAGTTTTTTTCCTTTAGACTTCAAATTTCTCAGATAAAAAAAACCAATTCAATCGATTAAATAAATTATTACCATTTAGATTATTATTACCGTATTAGATAAATTACCATTATTATTAATGTTAGGACGAATATTAGTCCATATTGGTCGATGTTGACTCTGTCCAGGAAATCTAACAGGCATTCCTTTGACGAGTTCAATCGTGGCTACATGCGGCGAAGAGGAAAAGGAATGCGTGGAACCTGCAGAGGATGCGGCCGACGAAGTAGAAGAAGAAGTTCCACTGCCGAAACTAACCACATTCCCTTGATTCCCATATACGGGATAATATTGACTGACGGATAGAGCACCAGCGATCCCTGTTAATCCTGCTGCGAACGACACCGACTGACTTTGCGAAATGACTCTAAAGAAACAAATACGCAATTCAATTCAAAAAAAAAAATTGAAAAATTGCACTTATCCATATTTATATATTTAAAAATTACACAGTGAACGAAAAGTTCGTTCTTGATGAATTTAATTAACCAATCTAATCCGATGTTTGTTGTCAATAGAGAAAATTTTATTCCTCTCGACTTAGAACGAAAACGTACCCACTCGTTTGAGACAATGGACGACCGAAACTGTTGCTTTGAGAGTAACTAACGCCCTCTGGCCTTACTTGAAAACCGAAAGAGTGCGCATTGCTCTCCGCGCTTGAAACGGACAACGATCGTGCTTTCGCATCAGACTCTTTGATCACTTGCTCTGGAATCAGCTCAGGTGGTGTGTTCCATCGTCGCTCGTCCTCCTCCGTGAGAAAAACTCGATCATCTGTGAAAGGAAGCTCTACGTGACACGTATCTTGTCTACAATCCCAGTTGCTTCGCACTTATTATTACGCAGATTTATATTTCAATTGGAATCAAGTTAATATCCACTGCACATCGATTATTTATATAGTTCGTAACGATTATTCGTATCGATTATCAGTTATAATGGATGTCAGATCGTATGACAGGAAGGAAAGTTGTTAAAAAAAAATAATGTCGTATAAATTAGGTTAGTCCAAGTGATTTTTACCTGCCCACGCGACCACCAACACAACGAAACACAACGGCACAACACAACGATGAAAGATGCTCCCGGCCATCTCTAAGACCGTTCTGGCTCGAGCACGATCGTTCTCCGCCCTTTTTCAATAAGTATGAACGACCTTAAAATCCTTATTGGCATTCGTCTCGCGTCCACCCACGTAATACTCTTCGACGAATAGAGTTACGATCACGCGGTGACTCGTACAGAAAGAAATGGGATTATCGAGGAACGATCATTAATTTCGTATAAAATTATTTCGTGGGTATTTAAATTTCTCATATTTATTTGTACAACGTGATCGAAATCAGTTCTCGTAAATGAGTCTCGTATCTTTTTTCGTTTTGTATTGTTGCATCACAAATGATTGAGAATTTTCTAATTGTCTTAATTTCTGGTCGAATATTTCCATATTTCTTTCTATAAACAATAAATTACGTTTCTGGTCTTTCCTAACTTCACATTTTCCTCCAATGATTGATCGATTTCAAATTAAGTTTTCAATTGTGATAAACGATATTTTTTTTTTTTTCTTTTACCGTTGTGTACAGATTTAAAATATTTCAAACACGTGATTCTACGGTATATATTATCAGTATAATTAATGTGAGTGAATCATTGAATATTCACCAAGTATTGAATGGCATATATTATAATGCTCAATCGTAGGAAAATATACGGTAAATCATACGAGATAATCGATATTACATCTCGTAATAATGAAATGATGAAAATGAATATTTTCCTCGGATTTTAATCAATTATTATACGTGAATGATTCACATTGCTCATTCTTTCAATGAACATCTCGATTTGATTTGTTATTGCATTTCTTAGAATTTTTTTTAAATACGTCACAAGATACTTATAAATTATTTTCAATAATTTCAATATTTCGAACACGTGTAATATTCGATGTTGATTCGGTGGAAGAATTTACAAAATAACATATCGAAACGTTGTCAATCGGAATCATCTGAATCAACGATACATACGGTAAGTTACTTCGAACGAATAGAAAATGCTGGTTTGAGAGTCACTGCGTCCCTGCTGCTCGAGTTGCCCTACATTCGCTCGCGTAGGACGGTTTGCTAGCGGCCAGGGGTAATCTCTCGATTTTCAGTAACCGAGAAAGGTTGAATTTTTTCAACGTTCGAACAAAAATTCTTCAAAACGTTATTTTACTTGCTTTCTCGCATCGAAAGCTTGACAAACATTTAATATAGAGTTGAACATCCAAAAATAAAAATTAAAAATTTATTCGCGTCACAGTCGATCCGCTTTTCGTAAAACCTCGTTTAACTAAATTTTTGAAGCAATTTACCGAGGTAACCGTTAAATTTTGCCCATCGCCGCTCGCGTCCACCGAAGAACGGACTGCTGGCAACCCTTCGAGTCGAAAGAAAAAGAAGTTACCGCGCGAACGTGTTATCGGTCTAAACGGTGCGAAACAACGAGCATACGCACAACTGGCTCGTGATTCATTCGTGTTGGGCCAGCAGCAGGTTTACACAGCTTCTTGACATTGAACTCGAGCGGTGGATGAGTACTTTGCCTTCGAGCAACATATTGACGACTCTAAAAGGGAACGAGCCTGTCTGAAAAGCAAAGCATTTTGAAAGATTAATACGCAGAAGGTAATCAACTTTCGCGTATTGGGTATTCCCCACGCACACACACGCTGTGTTCGAGATTCGTTACACAATTAAGAAATATTTTTCTTTCTCTCTCTCAACCAACGAAAAACGTGATAAAGAATTTATCGTGAATTGTTTATCCCACATATCGACGACTTATCCTTAAACAACATATAAATTTTTAACAACGTATCCTCTTCGTTATTCGGATGAAGATTGAATTTAATCAATCCAGTTGTATTATGTTAAATTCTATCCAGAGTATTAAAAATTAGAATATCGAAATAATCGTTTCGTAATCACGATTCATGAAAAATTGCGATTTATTAATAATAATAATAATTAATAATAATAATCGAATAATAATCGTTCTTACATCGTGTAATGTACTTTAACAACTCGATTGATCGAATTCTGTAATGTAAATATTGCGTAACGTGAAAATCTCGTGCATAGACGCGAGAATTCTCTATTTTTCGAATAAGAAAAAGCGATATTTCCTCGCGAAATTTCAAGCAAATTTAAAATTTAAAATTTAAAATTTTCCATTCAACAAAAAATGAAAGTGTATCAACGATTATAATTCACACCTGATCAAACATTTTATTCATTTTTTTCGTATCGTTTCTCGATAGCAAGTATTTTTCTCGAGAAGCAATCGCTTTCATCGAATTTCATCGAATGCTGTTTTTCTTCCCGAGCTTATCCAACGAAAATCGTATCCTTCCATGGAATCACTAGTAAACTAGTAATTTTCTATATATATATAGAAAGGTATCAATTTGCTACGTGCTACCCAATAATCAATCATCAATTATATATGCGTAGATTTGTAATCGTTCTCTTAATATTTTGCGCTTGCTTGAAGAAAAGAAAAAGGAAAGAAGAAGAAGAAGAAGAAGAAAATAGAAGACGTACAATTCCCCGATTATCTTCGATCGATTGTTGGATCGTGTGCAACAGGATGTAAGGACGATTATGATTCGATGTATCTTTGTTATTATTATTATTATTATTGTTGTTTATGAGTAATAAGTCAGCAGTTTTTCACCATTGACTTGGTTGAATCGGTGATGAGAGGCGATTTTCGATATTCTAATTTTTAATATTTTAACATTTTTTTTTAATTATATCACGGAAAAAGGCGAGGAGAATAAACGATGTTTACTCAACTATTCGTGTACAACAGGATGTAAGAATCGTTTGTTATTCGATTATTATTATTATTATTTATGAATAAGTCGCAGTTTTTCACTAGTTGAATCGTGATGCGATTTTCGATATTCTAATTTTCTAATATTCTGGACTGGAAATTTTCAATATTAAATTATCAACATTTTGTATTTATATCACGAGAAAAAAGGAAGAGGATTGTTATTATTTATGATATTCTAATTTCTAATATTCTGGACTGGAAATTTTCAATATTAAATTATCAACATTTTTTATTTATATCACGGGAAAAAAAGGAAGAGGATTGTCATTATTTATGATATTCTAAATTCTAATATTCTGGACTGGAAATTTTCAATTTTAAATTATCAACATTTTTTATTTATATCACGGGAAAAAAGGAAGAGGATTGTTATTATTTATG